GTAATTTCATACGTTAATTCAGCAGCTCGTGTAAATAGAAGTAGATAATAGACTAGTTAATTTAGAACATCTTTTGATGTTTCTAAATTATCGAAATGCTTATTCGGTACTCCATAACGTAAGACGTTTGAAGTGCCAGGCGATTTACTATTAGAAATAGCAGCAGTGACCAACTCCTCTCTATCGTCAGTCTGCTGTTCTGCAATTTCAATAATTTTAATATATTTTAATAATAACCAACAGAAACAAATAAAATTATTTCTAGTAATACCACATGAGGGAATGTTTTTACACCGGTTTCAAACAGTCTTGTTAGGTTATTTCGGTGAAAGTGTTTATAAGCAACGAATTACAATATTCAAAGAAACAAAATGCAGCTCTTACCATCTAGCAACTTCAACCCCTCCGAGAAGAAATTTGACACCTCCCAACATTTATAAAATAAATTATTTTCCTTTTCTTTTTTTTTATTTCATCAGGAAAACAAAATCTTATGTGATTAATACAGTAATCAAATACTGCATTAGAGATTTTGTATCAATATTCTCTGTACCAACAACAATTGCATCTAGAAATTGAAGCCTGTAGACGTGAAAAAATACATGATATTTTAGACGGACACTCTCGGGAGTTCACACAGTTGAACTTCCGTTTCGCAAGCGAAGTGAGGAGCCTCCACGAGTCAAACAATCCAGTTTAAGCGTCATCTAGCAGTCGTAATGAATCATCTGACTGACAGCGGACCTTCAGGATGTCAGCGGCATTGGAGATGATGTGCTTTGCAGCACCATCGTCGGGTGAAGGGACAGGTAGCTAGGGACAGGCAACAGGACAGCAGCCAGAAAGTAGCCAGGCATTCCAATGACAAGAGAGGAAATAGACATTCATGAAATTTCTTAACTGAGTGTCCTTCGGTTGTATCAAATGAACTGTCAAACTATTAATAATTGGATTGTTCTTTAGCAACGAGCAGATTTTGTTTCGATGTGGATGAAATCTCGTCTCCGTTGTACCTTTATTAACAAATGATTGAGTAGTATGCAGAATAATAGAAGGAAGAAGAATAGAACAGAAGAAGAAACGAAGATGAGGATACATTGCATCAGAATTTAGAAAAGAAACGTGCTTCGACCAAAACAAGAGATGAAAAATGGCACGACATACGTTTGTGATACACGTTTAAAATTACACACTGAGAGAATTTAGTAAGTCTTCACAAAGTAGCCAAAGTCACTTACAGAAAATATCTTAAAAATATCTCGAAACCAGAATGAAGACGTTGCTCGAACAAATATATAAATCAGCCGGTTTTGGAAGTGAATTCTGCATCGTCAACAGAATCAATAACACTGCGTATGATCACATGTTTAAAAATCGAAGCGAGGCAAAGAAAAGAAGAAAAAAGTTTCTATGAAAATAAAATGTAAGAAGCAGTTTTGACGACCGAAGATTTCTCTCGCAGTACAAGTAGTTTTCGAAGCTTATTAAAGTTAATTTATTTCCGTAAGAGTTGAACAGGATTTGACTGTATCTCGGCATACAACTATCGCATTCTTTTCCGTGCACCTTTCCTTTCAAATAAATTCAGAGCTTTGGATGTCTTTTGTAAAAGTCCATTTAACAGTAAAGAAGGAACAGAAATACAATTTTTCCATTATAATTTTTATTCTTATAAAAGGCAAAGAATTTTAGGCAGAAGGAAAATGTGTGTTTCCTCAACACACAATAATCTGTTTGGCATCAAGTTATTTCTTCCTCACGTTTATACACGATAGAATTTCGCCCAAATTTTGAAATTTATATTTACATATAAGTCACTATACTAGATCAAATAGTCTATAAGCAATTATCAATTACTTGTAAATACTGTAATTAAAATTGCACCATGCAGTGAAATTCAGAGTGTAACGCAACCAGTGGTCTGCGCAGTGTAGCGTAGCGTAACGCATGGTGGGTGTAGCGTAAGTGTAACATGTGATGTGTAACGTGGTTTGTATAGTACTCTTATGCCAGAGAATAGTTAATAATTCTTTCAATTATTATTGTTATTTATTATTTATTACCAAAGCGTTATTCAGATTTTACTATCATTAAATAGCGAAATGTTATGTTCATTATTATAATTAACAGCTGTTATCTTACACATAACTAAGTCCTAATAAATCTAAACTTAACATGACGAGCAATAATCATCTGATTCAATAAATTTCATCAATTTCGCATTTAAAGGGTCAGAGAAAACTTAGCAGTAACCTTTTTATTAGCACCAATATATTTAGCAAATACGACAAAATTACGGCTAGAATAATTTTCTTTTGGCGTCACAGCATCAATTGTCCGGACATAGTAACATACTATACATTGAATAAACATGAACCCACACACACAACACAGAATACACACGAGCCCGTAAACTACCGAGAGTAGTGCTTAAATCCAAACTTGCACTGACATTGCACGGCGGGGCTGCAGCTTCCAAGAGGGGGGGGGGGGAAGCGCACCGTGTTGGTCCTGAGGTGGGTCCAAGCAATTTTCCTGACTAACGGCCGCTGCCCCGTTTCCCCACTGCCGTCTGCCGGCTTCACGGAAGGTTCGCGCCCGAATCGCGGTTTCCTCACGCATACACTTCAAGGAGAGGGGTTGAATGTTGAAAGGGATTGGGAACTGGGAGACGGTAACTCTTAATGCTGTGCATGTAAATATGTGCAGATTGACAAACACAGATCATGAACGTTGGCTTTCAGTTTATTTCAATAAATGCTGGGGCAATAACACAGCCACACACACACAAACACACACATTGTGTTCGGCTCTGGGGATCACACCATGTTTTCTAAATGTTTTGAGGGTCGCTAAATACGAATCCGGTGTGCATTTTACTCTTCTCGTATTTGAAATACACAGTACAGATTTTTTCTATTTCTAAAGCAAACAATATAGCATACTCAAGAACAACAGAATAAAACAAACCTCAGCGATTGCTGTTAATTATTTAATTTTCATAAAGCACTTATATCACGATATATCACAATTTTTGAGAATCTTAAACAAGATTACCATCTTTCTCATGATAACATTCGTATTGTCATCTTGTATCCTGCAAAATCTCTCGGCACACATGTGTGGAATTGTGGGTCTCGGGAGAGGCCAGCGATCGTAGCAGTTTTCACTTTCCGACACTTTTAGGTCGTAAATTAAGCACCGTTCCCCTCCTCCCAACAGTCCCCGCGCAGGTAACCTCCAAATGTGCGCCGCGAAGTACATCGTCGCCTCGCGCAGCGGAAACTCTCCCTGGCGAGGAGGCAGAGGTGCGCTCTCCAACAAGAGCTGCTGCGCGCCACTCCGCCCACATGAACCGCAATGGCGTTCGGAAAGACTACGGTCGGTAATCACATAAGTCAATAAAAATTCATAAGAAATAGGGCCTACCTTCACTAATCGCTATGTACGAAGAGAGGAAAGAATGAAAGAAAATGAAATAAAAAAGAAAGAAGAAAAATGGAAATGTGCTGTAACAAAAACTGCAGTTGAATTGCTAAAGTAACGAACAAAAGTACAAACTTATTCACAAGCACAATTTTAAAAATTGCTTTTATCCGTTAAAGTATTATAACTATCCAAAACATTAATATTTTGCACTTGTAGGACATTAATTTAAGTGTAACAAGCTCTTGGAATCACAGAGCAGTAAATCAAATTGCAAAAACATCAATAATAATGTCTGACAAGTATTCTAATAGTAAATTATGTAAAAGGGATCCTAATTGTGATTGTATGTCATCCATTTTTCTTCCACTTAATAAATGAGAATTAATGAAAACAAATACCCACATCTTAAGTAGAAGAAGAGCCATTGAAATAAATTCTTTTATATTCTTTCGAAGTATTTTGACTCCTGAACACAACAATGCGTAAGGGTACATTATATTTAAAGAAACTACATTACGCAACGGGCACCTTCTTGTGTGGAAGTGCGAGGGCTGCGCGACGACGTTCTCACATTCATCGGCCTGGAGGCGGAGTCGTCGGGACGCGACCCTCGCGAGGTCTTTGCCCCGGGTGGGGTGGGGCGGGGCGGAAGGGGAGAAGAGGGGGGGTGTCTCGCCATCCGACGTGTACCGCCTCACAACGACCACCCCGCACCGCTCCCCGCGCGGCCCACTTGTTGCTCCCTCGGCCCACGCCTCCGGCTCCGCGGGTCAATGCTGTGGGGTCTCGGACGTTAACGGGTACAGTAAATGCACGTACGCTCACCGCAAAGCGAGCAATAAATAGATTCGAGAGGTGGGCTCCCTCTTACTCAGTATCTCACGCAAACTACGTCAAATATGGGGGAGATTTTCTCCGAAATGCATACACGCAGTGACGTAACATTCGGGCCCGCAAGGCCGGCAATGCGGGGGTGGGGAGGGGGGGCTAGGTAAAAGCGGGCCTATTTTCAGACAGAAGGTTTTGCGACAGTAAGATTGTAAGCGTAAGGTTTCGCGATTGTCTGTGCAATAATCGTAGACTGATGATTTCTTTCGTCGAAAAATTTCTAAAAGCTTTCTTTGCTCTCCGATAAAAAAAGTCAATCCGAAACATGGAGCCAATTACAATAAAAAATTTTGAAACTTCAATAAAAGTGTCCTCAAAATGAAAATAGCCATTGCGAAATCAAGCGGTTTGCAAAAGCGCTGAGATCAATCGGGGAATATCAATTTCTGAAACAAAAACCCTCCTTATGGTTTAGGCGTTAACGTTGTTAACAGCAGGTCAAAAGTTTTACCATAAACAAATTTTTAGGTATAGAAATACAACAAAATGTGGATTCTGTCGAACGTATTAGAAAATTATTTATTACCTCTAGTAACACGAATTACCCACTTTTACGGTTTCAGGAACCTACACTACGAGTTTTTCTGTTAAAAAATAGCTGGTTTTAGCCGATAAAACTCCTAGTTCATTTGCAGTTTCTTGGTGCGAAACCAGGCTGGTTGATGGTATTCTTGACGATTTACCTCACGGGAAGAACTCTACTGATTTCTTCATTCGCAGAACTAACTTGAAAATGAAGTATACCTGAAAGAAAGGAAATATATTAATATAATACACGAGTAAGTAATATTTGTAATATAATAGTTGATACGTTATTATTACTAAATGTTTATTTGCAGAAAACGCAGCAATAGAATCCAATAGAATAGCAATATACGCAATAGAATGAGCGGGGTTGCGCGACTGTCAATGTCCCTCATGTTGCCAAAATACAAACCGATGTTCAGTTAGTATGCATCTACCCTTTCACTCTTGCAGGAACTCCTGGAGCTGTAAAAGCTCGTATAGAGAGTTTGTGTGCGAAGAGTTCTTGAGATTTTGTCCTAGCAGTGCCTTTGTATTTATATTGCGCAGTAAAATAAAATTCCGTGAGTCATTCTATTTGGTCATGCGTGTTTTCATCGTGCGTGTTTTTGTTTTGTCTCTAGATCATTAGTGGTCATCAAACTGTTTTGGCGATAATACGCAGTTCAAATATTGATGTGTTCCTTCATTACAAAAAATATTTGATTAGCGAGGTAACTAAAACTTTTCAGACCAACTTGATATTTCAAGGAATATTATACCATATTGGAAATGTTTTGTAAAATCATGAGCCTCACTCATTTTAGGTACATGGTGTAAATAAATGGTTTCAAATATCGAAGCGAAAAGCATTCAAAGAAAGTAAATTTTCATTCAACACAAAAAATTAGACATTTTCTTCCCGGTTAATAATACAATAATATATTACATGCATGGTTTTACGATTGCAATATTACAGTCCATATGCAATGTTTGGGAATGTCCAACACCCCGCTCTCTCTGTTCCGAAGAGAGGAACCATTATAACAAATGGGCATCGTCATTCATTAGGTTATTTCTTTGATTTCAGCAATAGAGTCTTATTTCGCAATTGAAATGCGTACATGTTCTCTCACCCAATCGACTTATCTGACCATAGCCATGAAGATCTCACCGATACGACCTTTTTTGATAAAAAAGGCGTAATTGTTAGTTTCCATTTTTCAAATCGTTATGACGGGGCAAGGGCAACTAATGTTCATGTTAATTGCCACACACATCAACAAGTGTGGAACGTACTTGACAAATATAATAAATGGCTTGAGAATATCAGTTCCTACTTGGACATTCGCAATGTTTTATCTTACAACACCCCTTGTCAGCAACATATGTCTAATTGTAGAATAAAGTTTCTAACATCAAGGAAAAGTACCATATTCCTTCAGTACTTGCCAATCCAGTTTGATGGCATGAGGCAATATTTGATATTTCTACTAAGCGCGGAGAATCAGGTATGGTGCAAACTTCCTCTGCTTCCTTGACCCTTCAAAACATAATGATTGCCCCTGAAATAGATCTCTCATCTTTTCAAATGGAGAAGGTGTCTCCCGACGTCCGGAAATCTATCAACATTAGGCAACGTCCATAAAAAGTAATCTTAACACGTTCTCACAGAGGGGGAGAGAAACGGTCCATTTTAGAAGCCAAAAGCCAGCCTTTTTGACTTCCTCTGAAGGATTCGAAAGAAAATTCTCTGCGCACCTTCCTCTCGGTGGGTGGGTAAGGCCCAGCAAATGTCATCACATGACTGACCACGGAGAGCGGTCAAGTGTTTTAAATATCGTCTAGTAGCAAATTTATCTTTTAGATTTCAAATTGAACGTTTTCTGCACATTGATACAAAATGTACAATAAACACAAGCGAATTGTGTTTTACTAAAGACTCATTCAACTCATCGAAGAAATAGTTAACGTACTTTATATTTTGTACTCTCAAGAAAAATGTTGAGTATTCTTGACCACGAGGACATTAACTAACCTATGTGTAGTTAGCATTGTCAAAACGATCAATACGTATTACTACTCCGTCTCCTGTTTCTCGCCCAAGAAATACCTCCTTTCTCTGCTAGTTGATGAAAGGAGCGTAGCGAAATTTGCATGGTCAGACGGAAGAGCGGGCCTGATGACCCGAGTCTCGCCACGTAAAATAAGGCAAATTCAATTCAATTCAATTCTTGCCTAAGCAATCCTGTGTGTACTAGTGACACTTTTTTAAACTTCTGATCACCAGGCTTCCTTTTTTACGAATAAGTTTCTAGAAGTCAAGAAACATAAAAACAACTTAACGCGTGATAAGCCGTAGTCCCATCGAACTAAATCTAAAATTCACAAATGAGCGAAATTTTCAACAATTCAATTAACGAGTTATTTGAAATTCCAACTTCCATGTCTTTTGTTATTTTGCAAATGTTTAAGCTTATTGTCCAATGCAAAAATATTTGGTTAAAATTGATAATTTTTTACAAGAGCTCCGGGGGAACTTCCGAAGTCCAACTACACAAGGTATACGAATGGAAAGACGGAAAGTGTGACTAAAGCAACTAAAGGGGTGTTACCGAAACTGCCAAAAAAGACATTCGTCGACCCTCAAATGTAGGGGAGCCGGCGGCGCCTTTATCCGCTCGGGGGAGGGGACGCTCCGGAGTGGGGGCGTGCGCCGAACGAGGTCTAACGCTCGCCGCGGGGTCTCCCTCTGTTCCTGCCGATACGGGGAGCGGGCGAGCAGCTGATCAGCGATCCAGTTCGCGCCCTCGCTCGCCGCCAGGTAAGAAAGCGGCCGCTGCGGCCAAAGGCGGCGACGCGCTACGTGATCGTCGTCTATCACGAAATAAGTACGAAATCGGTCTTAAAAGTGATCACCTCCGGCTTCCCGAAGCGTAATGGTAATTCAGTAAAAACTCGTTAGCACGTACTCGCTAAACACGAATTGCGCCGTAACACAAATAATATTTGGGTGCCCGCCAGAAAAATGTTCTCCCCCCCCCAGACTACCATTAGTAATCATGGTGAGAGTTAGTATGATGTGTTGGTACATATGAATGTATTCATTGGGTGTCCCACTTCCAAGAATATTTAGCTCCGGTTCTTCGTTCTTCTTCTGATAATTATATTGTATTATTTCCTTCCAAACTTATTTTACCTTCTATGTGAAGATAAGAATAAGCTTTTAGTTACAACACGTTTTTGTGGTCTTATGTGATTGTTGTTTGTTTTTATGATCTTGTTGAGTTCTGCTGATGAAAATATATTTTCCGAAACGTTGGCAATCAATGATGTAGAGAAATTTCTTTTTCTCCCCTGACCAAGCCCCATAAACCTCACTTCACAAAACAAAAATACCAATATTTGTACACGGTAGTAGGGGAACATCCATTCATTACTCACGGTTAGACCCCTTCCGGTCCACCAATCAAGACAAAAAAGATGCCATTCGACGCATCTCGGTTTCCCGATAGGGAATCATAAATGTTTCACATACTCATAGCTAAAAAAAGTGAGGGGTGTAGCAACTAAAACACAACCAATTCCTCTTGACAAGGCATAACCTTGTCCAGTTCCCTCAACATTATTCTCTAAGAGTTGTAGAAAACCTGCGTTTTTAAGGTTAAATAATATGGACATTTGTTTGAGTCGCGTGTTGTCATATAATTGTGTAAAATATATCGCTATGGAGACAAACGAGTACGAGTTTTTAATGAATGAAGGAAATGTTACATGTTAAAAAGAAGGCGATGAGTAAAATTGTATGATTTCTGCAAATGTAAATAAAATGTTATAACGATAATGAAATATTAACTCAGATACCAAAAAGAAGAAGAAAGCAGCAAGATCACATTTCAATGAAATTACGAATACTTCGGTACCGGGAACACCTTTTATTTCGAATGGAATTCGCGACAAGCTATTTCTGTAGTAGCTCCCGTTTGAAACTAGAACGTCTGCGACCAGCTTTATTTCCAAAAGATTTACGTTTGAGCATTTTCAGAAAATTGATCAGCATTTTCCGAAAAACAACAACAATGTTTACATTCAATTTATTCATGGTAAATATTTAATTCACACATAGTCTTCACTTTGCATAATTTCCCAACATCAATTATGTAACACATGAAAAATAGAACACTTAAACTATATGTCTTTATACTAGTACTATTTTTTTAACAAATGAATTTATTATTCTTCAGACGACCTTCAAAATATTTGCTAGTGAAATTTAGAAGCAACGTAGAAAATTGAGTCAATGATAAATCAAAGGTGGGGAGAAACCTGAATTACCAAAAAAAAACTGAATAAAACATTTTAACCACTTTACTCCGGCGTGCAACCTTGAGGACCCGGTCAGCCTTCGGACAACGCGCCCTTGCCGTCTCACTTCAAGTACACAAATGCATTTTCTACTGAAGTGACCCGTGTGAATTGAAAAGGATACATAGAATTAGAAAGCAAACACATTAATAACGCAGCATCATTTCGTATATAAAATTATTACTTTCTTCTGGTAGTGGTTTGATTCCTTGTATATGTACAAACTATGAATCACCAAACAAAATATTAAATTATTCCGTTTCATAATCGCCTACCTCAATATAATGCAAGAGCAAGTGAGAAATTTGATGTTGGAGCACAGATTAAATACGATGTACTCCCAATGGTATAATTTGTTGTGTAGGAGGAAACCTTCGCCTATTTCAAGCAGATGGTTGGTTGGTTGGTTGTTAGTGATTCCGGGCACGTAAACTACGGAGGTCATTAGTCCCGTAAGTGTAGGGCGTGAGTTTTTCCTCGTGAGGTAGTGGCGATCTTCCCCCGCTAGATGGCGAGATCCGGCGCCGTCCTATTATCAGCTAGCGGGGTTTCACCTAACCAGGTATCTCCCACCAGCGGGACACCGCTCCAGCCGCGACAAGCTCTAAGCTCCCGCCCAGTCTTCCGGCATGTGTGGTAGTGTAGTGCATGTTAGTGTAAGAGTGTGTAAGGGGTAAGGAAAAAATAACGACGAGGCAGGAAATATCGCGCGCTGTCCGTTGCCCATTAGTTAGGGTACTGCTCCGGCATTCGCCCACTGTTGATCTGTTGATTGAAGAAACCACGGAAAACCAGCGATCGGAGCAGCCGGCCGCTAGAATTCTCCTCCAGATACCAACTTATTTCTAACTAGCTGACAAGCTAGTGTCGAAAATCATGCCATTGTCGGAACTCGAACCTAGAACCTCCCGGTCACAAGCACAGCTATGACATCAGTTGAGGCTCTGAGCCGGTCTATTTGAAGCAGAAATCTTCCTATTCGAGAAATATACGGAGATATATTTTAAAATTTCTGATATTATTACACAATCGAAAAGGGTACAAAGAATGTTAGTAAAAATAATGTTCCTTCTTCACTTATTTTTATAATTCTGTTCTCTATTTCATTCTCTTAACACTGTAATAATTGTAAAAATATGTTTTGACTTTTAGTTCTAGAAGAAAACACTACGGACTGTGTACACTCGATCTCTTCGCTACTTTCTTGTCACGCAAAAACATTTCCACAACCGGTCGCTATCGAGCGACAGCTTTCATAGAAATTACCAGATAAATCAGTAACTCACTTTTAGACACACCAAGCATACTGCTTCCTACTTTCCGGTTTTATCTATTCCACCCCGACAGGGACGCCTATCCGATACGTGGGTGTAAAAGACTTCAAGCAACGCCCTTCTTAGCGCGTCACAAACGACGATTTCGATATCAAGGAGATACCGATATTAGCAATATATCAGTTACTTACGACCAGGAAAAATTATTCCACGTCGTCTCCCTTTGTAATAATTGGAAAATGGAAATTTCAGAGCTTTTAGAAAGTCAAATTTTCAATAAGACCTTCCATATCATAATCACCCAAGCGGTAAAACGCCGTCCGCATTTAATCAGAGCAATTCTTTCTATAAAATGAACTGCGGACTTCGCAGGTTGCTGATCAAGATTGTAAACAGTTTTTACTCTAGTTCTAGATATATCTGAGCTTTCTACTGAATGCAATTTTAGAAAGTTCCAGAAATACAACACCAAGAATCATTGATAATTCATTAAAACATCTCCTTGGAAAGTGTATTTCAATACTCATAATGAACAGTTCATTAATTTCAACTATTATGAATTGTTTGGTAACGAGAAATGAATAATGCGAGAAGAACGATTGTTGTGTTTTTTCCAGTAGTGCAATTTCACAAACTTCAGTGCAACTTGAACACATTAATATTAATTATTACTAGCGTTGTTTTAAGTCGTAAAAGATATCTCCTTTTCAGATAATCTGGGGCTATTTAACGTATTCATCGAAAAATTCTTGTTTTGTTCTGTAAATACCTATTAGAATTGGTTTGAAAAGTGTTTTTTTTAAAATTTTGTGCAATATTCATCAACACTTATTACAGTTAATATCGGCACTAATTTTACAGAAACCAGGAATTCCATAGCAACGAGATATAACGAATAAACATAAAATGAATTATTACTTGGCACAGTTTTGGCAACGAACTTATTTTACCCACGTGGCAAAATAGTTTTCATTTCCGAACACCACAACCTTAGGCGCACGTCAGATAAGTTTCTTCCCTAAAATTTATCCCTCGTTCCCTCATTCAGCAATAAATCGCAAGCACTTTGCCATCTACCCAAACAACGTGAGACGTGGTGTGACGCACGACCGTGACCGCACCCCCGCTCTCACTCCGAGGGACTTGGGGGGGGAGGGGCGAGAAGAGTTGGGTGGGGCGTGACGGGGTTAGGGCACGGCGGCGCCAGGAGAGTTACGAGCGCCCAGCGCCCATGCTCCGCTCCGCGCCGTAAAATCTGGAGCTTCCGCCAACACCCTCCGCCGTCCATTCTTCCCCCTACGCTTCCTGCTCCTCCACGCCCAACACGCACACGTGGCGCCGCGCCCGCGCCGTCCTTCCTAGGGCGCATTATCACGCCGCTCACCGCAACCCCTGGCTCCTCCTTTTATTACCTCGCTGCTCTTTCCGGATGTCACTGCCTTATGGACCCATTGTTTATTCGGATCCATTCATTCACCCCGTAGCTCCCAGACTTTGCTATCCTTTCCCTTTACTCGCATTCTTTCTCACATTTAATCTGCCTCTTCTCCATCGAAAAGCCGTTCTTATCGCAAGGCATACTATCTCAAATAGGCCGTCATCATCTAAAAGAAATGGCAACATTCCCAAATTCCTTGATGTCTTCACAATCTGAAGTGAAATAAAGCATAATAAGTTTTGATCCATCGCCATTTTGGAATTACAATTTTACACGTAACACTGGGAAACTTTTTTTTAATACGAGAGGGGACACAATGAATTACGCAAAATAAAAGGATTGAATCATAATGACAATCAAAAAAATCCACAAAATGAGCAGAACATATGCAATCATATTTAATCATAAGTATATAGTATTTGTGAAATGCTCTATCCTTCTTTAATCAATGTCTTATGAAGGTGAATGGAAATAATGGAATTTGAAAATATCGCTGTGTAATAGCAACGTAAAATGCGCCTTGCTATCTAGGGCGTATTACCAAACTCTCCTGCAATGGAGCGTCCATAATTTAAAGAACGGCACTACCAGCGTCTACCTCCCAGCAGCTTCCTCCGTCTCCCTTGGCGTCCTCGCTCTTCTACTGCGCCATCCAATCCGCCTCTACAGCGTTAAAGGGGGAGCGCCATAAAGCGGATGGGCTGACTGGCGCTCGTGCGGCGGACGAGAGGCACTCGCGCACGCCTTCTAACAAGCTTAACTAGCCAGCAGCGCAAGTGCATGCACCAAAAAAAGCACTCCACGAGGAAATAAGTTGACAACTGAACAAGAGAACACAGATGTGGTAGAATGGAGGATATGAGCCTTGCTGGAAAGTGGACTTTTCCAAAATTTACTTTAGATTAGCTGTACAAAACGTAAAATCCTCCGAAAGCTTGGAGTGATGAAATTGTCGCAATGAGCAACACCTAACTGCTAGATAAATTTTCAGAGGAAGAGTTCGTAACTGGAATGGCTAATGATGCCCCTTGCGTTCTGTACAATATACGACTTAATTTTTGTCTTCACAAGGCCACGTATAAAAAAAATTGAAAAATCATTAGGATGACATAAAATCTTTTTAGTTTTCTTGTTTTGGTTCACAAGCGGCTTCAAATAATTTACGACAAGCAACATGCAAGAAATTGCCGCTATAGAAAGCGTACTCGAGAGGAGCAAGGAACCTGAAACGAAGGTGGATGCGGAAACTAAGGAAACTTTTGTGCAGCAATTCATTCTGAACCCCACATTGAAGTACTTACATCTGGTTTCGCCAGACGCAGGGAGTGAGCTATTCTCACGCGCGTGGGCAGCACGCCCTGAGGTCGCTTTCTCGCATCGCTGGCCGAAGTTCAAAGCTACGAGCGCGAAAGCTCGCCAACTCTCTTCTGCCGTCACCACCAGAAAAGTACGTTCTATGCTCTGCATTTAACCATGCAGTATAGATGAATTTACCCCTCACAGAATAAATTACTACTTTCTCAAGTAAGTTTCAAGACCTTTTTCAGTTTTATAATCGGGCATTTACTATTATTTCACCTTTTGTTCGAATGTTTTGTACAAAACGTTCTGAGCACACTATTGTTTGCAGAATGGTCCAAATTGCAAAGTGGTTTCTTTATTGATTGCACTATCTCCCCAAGAAGTTCCTTAAAACTTTCTTCATAGAAAGTTTAATCGATGACGCACAGTACATAGTATGTACTTCTATTTTCAGGAGCTTGCAGTCGCGGAGGAATCTTCCCCGGGAGGCAGACTTAGCGGCAACTAGCAACTGTACCTCAAAACGTTCATTATTTTATCGTCATTAGAAGCAGATTGACGCAGTAAGTAATTTTAGCCAAATACAGGTCATTGACAGTTTCGAAAAGTCGGAGGAGACTTTTAAGACAACGGTAAAAACCGGACCGTAGCCCACAATGCCAAACAATCAGCACAATTTATTTATCGAGACGTAAGAAAGTCAAGGTCCTAAAATATTATCTCTTTTGCATATCAGTGAAGCGCCTGTGCGCACTCGCCTAACCAACAGAACTTCCAAAAGCGCAGAAATAAGCGCGCCTTTTGGCAGCACGAGCTTTGTAACGTGTGGGCTCCGCTGGCGCAGGGATGCATCGCCGCGCGTCCTCGTCCACCCGCATGGCCGCGCCCCTGGCGCTGCTGGCGCTACTGGCGACGGTCGGGGCGCCCGGCGCGCGCGCCTTCGGCCTGGACTTCCTGCGGCCGCTGCGCCTGCTCGAGGCGGTGTCCGCCTTCTTCCGCGAGCACAACGCCTACCCCGAGAAGCATGTGCGCGAGACGTCGGCCTCCAAGGTGGCCGCCATGGGCCCCTTCGACTTCGTGGTGGTGGGCGCCGGCGTGGGCGGGGCCGCTGTCGCCGCGCGCCTCTCCGAGGAGAAGGACTGGAAGGTGTTGCTGCTGGAGGCCGGCAAAGACGAGAACACACTAACTGACGTGCCCGTGCTGTCCGCCGTCTGGCAGTCCACGCCCTTCAACTGGGGCTACCGCACTGAGCCGCGGCCCGACGTCTGCCTAGCAATGAACGACCACCGATGCAGCTGGCCGCGCGGGAAAGTCATTGGTCAGTGTCCCTTATTTGCATACGCAATATACTGCCGTTTTGGGTTCTTAGTATTCGTGGAGCCACGACATTGCGCATCTCTGTGTCAGATAGTATTATTTGAGTCCCGTGCCCCGATTTTACCACTACCAGGCGATCCCCGTAATTTCACTCTTGCTAACTTCCGTGCGTAGTCAACCTGAATGATACTTTTTATTCGCCTACGTCATTACTACTACACTTAAGCCAGATTACTTTTGATTTTTCTTTGAATTAATCACTAAAATTGCCGGGGGTTCCGTCACTAATATGTCCCAAAAGCCAGCAAGTTATCGTAAATCAGCAACGTTACGTAAATAAAGAACTGTAAGAATGCGAAAAATGGTTTTTAGAAATGTAAAAAATTCGCAGGTACTGCCCTAATCGCCTCCGAAGATCTTGCCCAAATCTATTAATTCTGAGAGGCACTTCATCCAGTTCTCGTCCGCAGGCGGAACGTCAGTGATCAACTACATGGTGCACACGCGCGGCCACCGCCTGGACTACGACGCGTGGGCGGCGGCGGGCAACGAAGGCTGGAGCTACGACGACGTGCTGCCCTACTTCAAGCGCAACGAGCGCGTGCTCATCGACGAGTACGCGCACGCGGAGGACCGCGGCCACGACGGCCCGCTGAACGTGGAGCGCGTGCCCTACTCCACGCCGCTCAGCCACGCCTTCGTGCGCGCCGGCCGCGAACTGGGCTACCCGCAGGTGGACTACAACGCGCAGGGCCCCACGGGCTTCTCGCTCATCCAGGCCACCATGCGCAACGGCAGCCGCTGCAGCGCCAACAAGGCCTACCTGCGACCCGCTCGCGACAGAGACAACCTCTTCATTACATCGAAGGTACCATGCGCTAACTGGCGTCCGTGTCCCTATTCATTCGTAAGTGCACAAGAAAACAAGCGAAGTCTCGTATTTATTCGATTCAGGGTAATGAGTAATAAGCATGTGCGATCGTATCGACAATCCAAATCGAGAACAGTATGCGCAACCATTGGAATGAAGTCTGCCTTCGCCGATTAGTCGTAAGATAGGCGAACTTTAAAAGGTCCAAAAACTACTCTTTACGCTCCTTGCCATTTTTTCTTGATTTTTATTGTACCTTCCCAAGATTTTTTTTTAATCTATAGAATCATTTCATGAAAGTTTAGTACACCCTGTCTTTTAATATCCACATATTTTCAGAAAATAACATTCACGAACGTTCTTTATACTCGTAACGTTGCAAGAATTTTTCAGATCTTTAACATTTCGTATACATTTTGCATCCCTAACAGTTTCTCCAAGTATTAAGATACGCTCATTCATATGAAAATTAACACCAAAAAACACTATACTTTGTGATACAGGTACGTGTTTGAAAACAAGGTCATATGTTGAGTTTTCCTCAAAGCATTAACCCACAAGTCGAGTAACGCATAAACAATAGATAATGCCTCAGATACGATTATCTTTACGATAGTTCCTTATTATGGTCAGAAACAGAGAGTAAGACGCACTTCTGTTGCCGATTCCCTGGTCATTTAGCAATTGAAAAAGAACGGAAGCGAAGGAAAGTAAATCTGAAATTTCACGTATTTTAAGTTCCTTAAATGGAACGTTCTAATCCACTCGCTCATCTCATACATATAACTTTATAATTTTCCCTAAATTTTTTACTATAATATCTTGTGCTTATTATGTACTCCTTAAAGGATCTCCAAACATATAATCACACATAATTTAACCATTACTGACAAAATGTGACTACTTTATTGGTGAGAGATGAAACAATGTTCAGCTAAAGTTACACTCAATTACTGCATTATGCATTTCTCGATCACTGTGTTTACTTCCAGGCTCAAGTCACCCGAGTGATCATCGATCCCAAGACGAAGCACGCGACGGGCGTGGAATTCATGAACGGCCACTCCACGTGGAAAGTGTTCGCCAAGAAGGAGGTGATCCTGTCGGCAGGCGTCTTCAACTCGCCACAGCTGCTCATGCTGTCGGGTGTAGGTCCCAAAGAGCATCTCAAAGAGCTGGATATCCCGCTCGTGCAGGACCTCAAGGTCGGCTACAATCTCATGGAACACTATGGCTTCCTAGGCACCACGTTTATCGTCAACCAGTCTGTTTCCATTCGGATGAATCGCATACTAATGAACCCCACATCCATCCCGGAGTACGTCTTTAATGGTAGGCTGAAAATGCCTTTTGTTAGCTCAGCAAAGCTTTTTCTGATTTCTTTTATAATTTAACGACTATTTAACAGACCCAAAAGAAAAAAAGAACTAAGAAAAACATTTAACTACTTATTACAAACCTACAAGTTAGAAATGCGAATACGAGAAAATTAGAAAACGCTCTCCTTAAATATACACAAAATACTTCACTCCAACGACGACTACTTTTGATCTTCAGTTGGGAGTCTTCGTCTGACTGTCCTTACTATGAAATAAATAAAAATGTATGTGAATTTTAAAAAAGGTGACTAACTTAAATAATTAGAATATAACATTACCTACAAAAACATTCGGACAGGTAAAATCATATTTCGTACCCATTTTTTCAGACTGATTAGCGATTCCGGGAGCGTCAACTTCTAAGGTTATTCTCCCGTAAGCGTAGTGCATGATTTTATTGCGTGAGGTGGCGGTGGTCTTGCCCCAGCGGCTGGCGACATCCGGCGCCTATCTACGTCGACACGCGAGGATTTTCCCCAACCAGCAGGGCACAGCCGAGACAAGCTCTAAGCTCACGACTGGTCGCCCGACATGTGTGTGTGTGTGTGTGTGTGTGTGTGTGTATAAGAGGTGAAGAAAGGATCAGGGAGATAAAGGTCACACGCGGTCTGTGGTCCATTTGTTACGGTACTGCTCCGGCATTCGCCTGGCGTTGATCGGAGAAAGTACGGAATCAATTCGTCAAAAAGAAACGACGTTTAGAAAAGGGGAAAAAATCCATAATTAAGACCGTACGCGAATCCGCAGGTCGTGGGCCGCTGACGGTGGCGGGCGGCGCGGAGGCGGTGGGCTACGTGCGCACGCCGCGCCAGGACGACGGCACCGGAGACGAGCGGCCGAGCGTAGAGCTGCTGTTCGTGGGCGCGACGCTCGCCTCCGACGACGGCACCGCCGTGCCCCTCGGCCTGGGCCTCAAGCGCAGCGACTACAACGCCTACTTCGCCCCGCTCACCTTCCACGACGGCTTCACCATCTGGCCGCTGGTGATGCAGCCCAAGAGCCGCGGCCGCGTCACGCTGCGCTCGCGCGACCCCTTCGACGCGCCGCTGCTGCAGGCCAACCTCTTCTCCCACCCGCACGACATGGAGGTGAGCACTGGGCGCAGTCGTCACGGAAAGGAACGTAGTTCGTTCCGCTTTCAGTACGACTATCGAATCCGTAAACCAAGCAGGAACTCTTTCGTCAAAGTTACATATCGATGAAGGTTACAAAATACAGCAAACGATTACGTGATAAATTGATATTACTACTACAAACATAACCGCGGTATCAAAACCTGAGTTTGGTTTGAGAATCTAAGATCAAACACGTAAACAAAATTCTTATCAAAGTTCCACATCGATGAAGGATGCATACATAGCAAACGATTACATGATAAATTAGTATTACTATAACAAACATCACGGCGGCATCAAAGCTTGAGTTTGTTTTAAGGAAAGAAGATAGAAAACGTGAAACTGAAAAACGTCGTGTCATGCATTTTGATTAGGGATCCATTGATCAGTCAAATACAAGTTCTCGTCTTAACGAAACGGTAACGTGATTGAGAGACCTTTCCAAGAACGTGTGAATGGGTCAATGACTCGTAAATGTAGTTAGCGTAAGTAAACAAGTAGTATGCCATTGTTGGCTTAATTGTATACTAAGGTTAATAATGGTATCCTTTTTTCTTGGTGACAATCGGAGTTTATATATTTCAGAACTAACTTGTATTTTGCCATGCAAATAAGTTATTCAATGTTTCGCTTAACGTTTCATGCATTGAGAATTTCATATCATTAACACAATTCTGCGGATAAATTAGCCATTCCTTTGCAAGACAGGATGTAGTTTTTTCAAATAAATGAAGAAAAATAAAAGGCATTCATTTTCTAATTAAACATTCACATTTTCATAAATGTAAAAAAAAGTGATTAAATTACAATTGTTTGTTTCCTTTTACATCTGATGGTGCATAAAACGTTACGCGAAACGTTGTGTAGCATATTTACGTGAGAAAAATAAAACTGTCTTCTGAAATATATACACTTCGATTGTCGTAGACGAAGTCCATGGCTGGCGAGCGATTCCAGAATCCATCGTGCGCAGGTGCTGATCGAGGGCATCAAGATGGCGGTGCGCGTGGGGCAGAGCAAGGCGTTCGCGCGCTTCGGGGCGCACCTGCACGCGCGCCCGGTGCCCGGGTGCGAGGGCGTGGCGTTCGGCTCGGACGCGTACTGGGCTTGCGCCGCGCGCCACCTCACCGCCGTGCTGCACCACACGTCGGGCACGTGCAAGATGGGGCCGCGCTCCGACCCGGACGCCGTGGTGGACCCGCAGCTGCGCGTGCACGGCCTCGAGGCGCTGCGCGTGGTGGACGCCTCCGTCATCCCCGTCGTGCCCACGGGGCACACCACCGCCCCCACCTACATGATCGCGGAGAAGGCCGCCGACCTCATCAAGAAGGCGTGGGGACGCCTCTAGCAGCGCTTCACGGCAGGGCGTGGAGGGGAAGGAAGCCGATCGAAGAGCAAAAGTCAAATCTCACAATTAGAGTGCTAAGTGACGAGGAGATGGCGGGGATTCTCGATAATTTGATGGCCCGCGCCGGAGAGTTAATTTTTTCTTGCCAAAGTCATAACTAATCGACATTAGGCGACTTATTTGATTAACACATCTAATGTTCAAACCTACGCAATTGGGCAAGAAAACATTCCCGAGAGTATACCTAGGGTTCATTCAGACTGTTGCGCAAGCGAGGACTATCTTTAATCGTTAATTTTTCAATTCGTCTCTTCAGAGTTTTAAATGTCCCGCTATCGAAAAAATTCTCAATTCGCATCTTACCAGTGATCGATGGTGATGTTTACGGAATCGGATGAATGCACAATTCACTCGATTAACAAAACACGCTAAAGTTCGAAAAAAGGGGTCAGACAAATAGAGGTAAAACCAATGTGTAGAAAAAGAACAATAAATTATTCAAATAAAGACCGTCAGCAATGAAAGTTCTCCGCGTCATAACTATCGGCAGCTGCCGTGTCAACAGCCGCACTATTCTTTTAGACATATGACATATCAATTCGTAAGTCATTAACATTAATTGTTATCGTTTTGTTTTAAAATATTTTATGCCATTGTAAATATGTTATAATAAGCTTATATGTTTTCATTTGTTACATTTTTTGTATTTTTATAAGTTGTCTACACACAACGGAAGTTAATGTTTTTGCTCAGTTGATAGACCTGTATACATGAAGTAGGTTACTCTTTGTAGTCACTTTCTCCCAACTCAGCTATGCAAAGGCTATCAGAAATTCTCTGATTACTAATCATTTCCACTCCACTTGCTTTCCATCCTAAAAATGCACGGGTTATCGGACACTCCATTTATCACAGAATATTCTCGGTATTGTCGTATGCACTAATTAGGGAAGTAATTTCCACTAAAAGCTAGTCTATGTAAATACAGTGCATTTGTTATTAATTTCTACACTTATCCTCTCACCAAGTTTTGGGCAGTGAATGACTTCGTCAGATGTTGAGATAATTACGTAAAGATTACGTTTCATTTAGCAAAAAAATGTACGTAAAACGTTTCTGATAACACATTTAGTCTCCAATAGCTTTCCCGGAGTCTCGCACTAGCATGAGGACGACTTGGGAGGGCAAGCATTTACAGAGGTAATACAGGTTTCCACAAAAGCTAAGCGTGACTAGCGAACTGCCCAGACTAACCCTAGATTTAGAAGCGAGCCCCACATCTTCCCTTCCTCCTTAACCATACGCAAATTGCATGTTAACAAGGCTGTGTCACACAAGAAATTTCACCCACACATTATGTTACATTTGACTTTACTCCTGAGATTTTCAAGAGATTTCTAACACACAAAATGTGACCACCGAATTTGAAAATGGAATTCGAGATTAAACGTAATACATTGTTTAAAATGTATGTGGCCACTTCTCTTCTATTATCTGTTAGAGTAAACTTTAATAATCGGGAAAAAATGATTTCTCAACCTATTCAATCCACTGACACAAACTTGTGTTTACTTCAAAGACGTATGTACATAACCAAATGACGATTCTAACAAAAGGAGATGAACCACATTATTCCCCCGCTGAGATCCGTCGCCGATGTAGTATACGTCGTGAGTGTGGTATGCGTGCGTGTGCGCGAGACAGAGAGAGAGAGAGAGAGAGAGAGAGGGGGGGGGGAGAAAGAGATAATGGTGAAGGAAAGATTTTGAGTGGTCCATGGCTCATTAGTTACAAAACTTCGTAATCGCGTAGCATTAATCGGAGAACACAAAGCTACGCATCAGAGCAGACGGTCGCTAGAATTATCTTGCGGACACTGGTTAATTTCGACTCAGCTCTGAAGCTAATTCAAAATTCCGCCACCGTCGGGACTCGAACCCTCGGTAAACGAAACTGCTGACAAAAAGGATGTTGGCACTGAGCCAGTATGCGAGTTTAAATGTTTATGAAATGTATTGTCGCGGGTCAAATTTATATTGTGCGAATGAATCACATTGATTAACATATGACCATAGTTTAACTGTCAGAATGTAATCGGTTCAAAATCAACTCTCCCCGAATCTCTCGACCTCTACGAGGGAACTCGAACACTCCTCACTTTACGTTCATGAAAAGAGTAATCAGAGACTTTTTACACAGCGGAATGCTCCTAAGGGTATAACACTTTCGGGTATTTGTACATGCGCAGAGGCTCAAACGTGTCGTACGCCGAAGTTCTACACGCTATGCAAAAGTCTAATGAAGACGTGGGTATCGAGGTCGCTGCCATTGATACGCGGATGAGCAGGCAACTATCGTCAGCCTCGAAGTTCGCACACTATCGGTTTTCCAATGCTTAAGCGCGGCAGCGGAGGCGGAGGCAACTTTCCCTCCGGGCTTCTGCCCTCCCTCCTCGTCCCCCGCCCGCGACCGCGTGCACCGCAGCGGCGCCATCCATCACGCCACAAAGTGCCTGCCCTCGCGACCGATAACGTGACACGGCGGCCCCTCGACATTTGTGCCCCGGCGCGCACTGTTTTGACAGCGACTTCGCACGAGGTCACGCGGTTGCCCGGGCAACGGAGTGACGCCCAACGCCTCGTCTCTATTGACAATTCGGATATTGCAAACACGCTGTTGGACGGGAAAGCTTGCGTTCGGGACACTACAAAGACGGCATCTAATGCATATCATCTAACTCACTAACGAGTTTAGTATTTCCATATCTACAAGGATTATAAGGTGAATATGACCTAATTGGAGATATTTCCAGTATACAATTGCCGCCTAAGTTCTATTGAAAGTATGGTTTTCAGTCCGGATTAGAAAACCAAACGAAAATTATCATTAGCAAGGACGCGTCTAACACGGAGCTCTCGCTCGGAGAGCAGGAGCGGATTACAGGGAAGCATTGTGGTGGGTGCAATGGCCCGCGTAATGACATGCTGACGAACAAAGGGCACCGTAACATTCAAATACGGGGGTTGAGGCGACGAAGGCGTTTGAATGTCAAATTCAGCAGTAGAAAAACACTCTGCTGACGTACTATACAGCGCAGAAATAAAGGTCACAGTCTCTCTATTCCACGTAGATAAAACAATAATGAATTGATATGATTCTTTAAATAGTTTATAAACAATGTAAAGTGAAAGGAGACAAATACTTTTCATTTCCAAAACCTTTTCTGAAACAACTCCACCTGGCAACGATTTGGCAACTATTTTGCGACAAAACTTAACAAGGTGTAAAAAACCAACATCCAAATATTAGTTTTTGTATTCTGTCTGTGTCTTTGAGGAGGAAGGTCATCCTGACTAAGCACAAAGACGTTTGGCCTCCGAAGAATCCTCGTCCTCGAAAAGGCTGCGTCTCACGGGAAAATCGCATCTCATCCCAACTTCGCACCTTCTCCTCGCGCCAAACCAAGACTACATTCCCATCCGTACCATATAACCAATGATCCATGCTCCTATTGGGGCTGTTTTATTACGCAAATTCCAGGGGAAAATCCAAGGCAATTTATCGCCCCGCTAATTCCTGAGCGCGCGAACGCTCTCCTCTCGCTGGCCCTTTTCCCGCCTGCGCAGCGCAGGAGCGATTCAGCCACGAACAGCAGGGGACGGCCGCGTAAATTACGCAAAGGGTCTGCCGCCCGGGGCGTTGGCAGCAAAGGGGGAGGCGGGGGGGCGGGGCGGGGCGGGGCGGGGCGGGAGCACGCCGCTAGCGAACGGCGGTGCCGAGAAGACGAGCAGGCAGGATGCGCAGCAAGCTCCAAGTTATTCATAGGACGCATCGGATGGCGGAGGAAATGGAGAGTGGGGTCTACTAGTGAAGGTCGAGTAATGAGGGTGGCGAGTGGAGGGGCTGCGTGCACGAGAAAATGAGAGGACGACCGCGCAAGCGGGACAGAAACACGCCTTGCGCCACGCAACCCGCACAACTCCCAGGCGCGAGCAGTTGCTTCCTTCTAACCACAAGGCGCAACTCGGATGACTGGTTCCTCTTCAAGCAAACTACTCTATATCATCATCGGATGATAAATGACAATATTACTTCGCAATGACATTATTGACAGTTAAAGTAGTTTCTTCACAGAAGGAAGCACTTGAATATATAAATACGTAATCAATTTAATTATTGAGGAATTTGGACTCCTCGGTTTAACACACAAAGCTTAATCAGAGTATCAAGCAGCAAATGAGAAGTGTTACAATTCAACTAAAATTTAAAGAATGGTCACATTCTTGAAATAAATTTTAGTGAATTACGCCTGAAGTTGTATTATAAAGTGGTTAAATAGACATTAGATCATTTGAGTTATAATGACTACATAGTGTTAATTTGAAATTGCCTTTATGACTAGAATTTTTTTAAAAAAATTCATTGTACTTTAACACAGGGGAGCTTTCGCATTAAATAACTAGTTCACTTTCACATTTATTTAGTAGTTTCTATTTAAAATTCGAAAATGAATTTCCAGTAACTATTCTGTATATACCCCGTTGACGATCCCTGATAGGAGCCCAGGAGTTTAAGTGCATTTTCACACCTAGTACATTTGAGAGAGGCTGGCAGAATTACTCATTATTGGGTCTGGTATATTGTATGTACATGGAAATATTACCTTTTAAACTGTTTAACATATAGGCGATTTTATTAGTTCGGGTAATATTCATGTACACTTTTTGTGCAATAATTGCATTAACCTCACCCGAAACATGGCTTCCTGCAGGTTTTTTATCTCTCTTCCCATACCCGAAGCAAACAGGAGTGACTGATCCATCAAGTGAGGATACGAAGCGTCGATCGGGATGGTACACCATTCGTCGCCGGTCGTAAACCTCGAGCCCAGCGTCCTCCCGAGGTTCCGAGCACAAACACCTCGGGTAGAGCCACGCCCTACATGCGCACCCAATACCTGCCCCCCGTCCCCCCTCCCTCGCAGAGAAGCACGCGCCACG